TCTCCTGTGTGAGTTCTCTGGTGTGTTACCAGGTTGGAATTGGTACTAAAACCTTTATCACAATCAGGACATTCAAAGGGTTTCTCTCCTGTGTGAGTCCTCTGGTGTGTTACCAGGTTGGAATTCTGACTGAAACCTTTACCACAATCAGGACATTCAAAGGGTTTCTCGCCTGTGTGAGTCCTCTGGTGTCTTACCAGGCTGGAATTGTCAATGAAACCTTTACCACAATAAGGACAATCAAAGGGTTTCTCTCCTGTGTGAGTCCTCTGGTGTGTTACCAGGCTGGAATTGGTACTGAAACTTTTACCACAATAAGGACATTCAAAGGGTTTCTCTCCTGTATGAGTCCTCTGGTGTGTTACCAGGTCGGAATTATTATTGAAATCTTTACCACAAACAGGACATTCAAAGGGTTTCTCTCCTGTGTGAATCCTCTGGTGTGTTACCAGGTTGGAATTGGTACTAAAACCTTTATCACAATCAGGACATTCAAAGGGTTTCTCTCCTGTGTGAGTCCTCTGGTGTGTTACCAGGTTGGAATTGACTGAAACCTTTACCACAATCAGGACATTCAAAAGGTTTCTCTCCTGTGTAAGTCCTCTGGTGTGTTACCAGGTCAGAATTATTACTGAAACCTTTACCACAAACAGGACATTCAAAGGGTTTCTCTCCTGTGTGAGTCCTCTGGTGTGTTACCAGGTCGGAATTCTTATTGAAATCTTTACCACAATAAGGACATTCAAAAGGTTTCTCTCCTGTGTGAGTCCGCTGGTGTTTCACAAGGGTGGAATTGGTACTAAAACCTTTATCACAATCAGGACATTCAAAGGGTTTCTCTCCTGTGTGAGTCCTCTGGTGTGTTACCAGGTCGGAATTCTTATTGAAATCTTTACCACAAACAGGACATTCAAAGGGTTTCTTTCCTGTGTGAATCCTCTGGTGTACCACAAGGCTAGAACTGTCACTGAAACCTTTACCACAATAAAGACATTCAAAGGGTTTCTCTCCTGTGTGAGTCCTCTGGTGTTTCACAAGGCTAGAACTGTCACAGAAACCTTTACCACAATAAGGACATTCAAAAGGTTTCTCTCCTGTGTGAGTCCTCTGGTGTGTTACCAGGTTGGAATTCTGACTGAAACCTTTACCACAATCAGGACATTCAAAAGGTTTCTCTCCTGTGTGAGTCCTCTGGTGCCTCACCAGGTCGGAATTCTTATTGAAATCTTTACCACAAACAGGACATTCAAAGGGTTTCTCTCCTGTGTGAATCCTCTGGTGTGTCACCAGGCTGTAACTGTTACTGAAACCTTTACCACAAAGAGGACATTCAAAAGGTTTCTCTCCTGTGTGAGTCCGCTGGTGTTTCACAAGGGTGGAATTGGTACTAAAACCTTTATCACAATCAGGACATTCAAAGGGTTTCTCGCCTGTGTGAGTCCTCTGGTGTCTTACCAGGCTGGAATAGTCAATGAAACCTTTACCACAATAAGGACAATCAAAGGGTTTCTCTCCTGTGTGAGTCCTCTGGTGTGTTACCAGGCTGGAATTGGTACTGAAACTTTTACCACAATAAGGACATTCAAAGGGTTTCTCTCCTGTGTGAGTCCTCTGGTGTGTTACCAGGTTGGAATTGGTCCTGAAACCTTTACCACAATCAGGACATTCAAAGGGTTTCTCTCCTGTGTGAGTCCTCTGGTGTGTTACCAGGTTGGAATTCTGACTGAAACCTTTACCACAATCAGGACATTCAAAAGGTTTCTCTCCTGTGTGAGTCTTCTGGTGTATTACCAGGCTGGAATTCTTACTGAAACCTTTACCACAATAAAGACATTCAAAGGGTTTCTTTCCTGTGTGAATCCTCTGGTGTACCACAAGGCTAGAACTGTCACTGAAACCTTTACCACAATAAAGACATTCAAAGGGTTTCTCTCCTGTGTGA